TGAATTTCTACCACCATAACTTCAGTAACATACAAAACCTCTGCTCCTTTACAGTTCCATCTTCATCCTTTTTGCTGCTGAAGTCACAAACTTACATCTCTATACATCCTGTGCTCTAAAACATAAACTAAAAATTCTTTAAAATGCAAGAGTCTCTTAAATTATGTAGAAAACAAGATTCAGAGTTACACTCCAAACAGTTATAGTAATGCTACCTTTATACTAATAATTATGTTTTCTTTAAATGTATTAGTCTCTTAGATCATTTGGAAAACAAAGAGTAGAGTTTCAAACCAGTGTTAACTTATACTGGCTTCTAGGGGCCCCTGGGTTGCTCAGTCAGTTGAGCATCTGACTCTCGATTTTGGTTCAGGTCATGATTTTAAGGTTCTGGGATTGAGCCCTGTACTGGGCTCTGCACTGAGCATGGAGCCTACTTGGGATTCTCTCTCTCCCGCTGTGGCCCTCTCCCCCACCCTCTCTAAATAAGTAAGTAAATAAATAAATAAATACATAAATAAATAAAATTTATACTGGCTTTTAAAATTGCCCACATTTATGGGGCACCTGGTTCAGTTGGTTAAGTGTCTGACCTCGGCTCAGGTCATGATCTCATGGTTCATGAGTTGGAGCCCCACGTTGGTCTCTGTGCTGACAGCTTGGAGCCTGGAGCCTACTTGGATTCTGTGTCTCCCTCTCTCTCTGCCCCTCCCCTACTCACTCTCTCAAAAATAAATAACAAATTAAAATAATAATAATAATCTCGCAGTGTGGGGCTCTCTGATTTCCTCTTATTGGAGTCCCTTAGGCTTTTTCGATGTCTTTCATGTCTTTCATCCAATTTTAGAGTTTTCATCCATCATTTCTTCAAATCCTCTCCTCCCCCTTTTCTCTTCTCCTCCTGGGACGTCCATGATGCATATATTAGTTCTCTTGATGGTGTCCCACTAATTCCTTAGGCTCTGTTTGCTTTTTTCAATCTTTTTCTTCCTGTTCCCCAGCCTTGATAGTTTCCATTGTCCGATCTTCAAGATCACAGATTCTTCTCCCTGCTCAGAGCAGCCTTTGAATCCCTCTAGTGAATATTTCGTTTCAGTTACTTATCAGGTCCAGAATTTTTTTCTTTTTACGTTTCCTATCTCTTTATTGATACTTTCATTTTATTTGCACATCATCTTCTTGACTTTCTCTATATCTTCTTTTAGATCTTTGAGCATCTTTTTTTGACAGTTGTTTTGAAGTCTTTGTGGTATGTCTAACATCAGGGATTTGGGAGGAAATTTTCTGTTATTTTTTTTTTCCTCACTGAATGGGCCATACTTTTTGTTGCCTTGATTTTGTTGTTGGAACACTGAACATTTGAATCTAATAATGTGGTAACTCTGGAAATCAGATTTTCTCCTTACTCCATGGTGTACCGTTTTTGTTTATTTGAATGTTGTAGGCAGTCTCTGTGTTGAGAATCACCCTGAGGTGTAAACCTAGTCTTTTCTGAGACTTTCCCTGGGCATGCATGGTCACTGTCTAATTTTCCCCATATATGCTGTTGTTTGTACATGTCCTTGGTCTTTAATTTCTGGCTCTCCAAAGGGGAAAAGGCAAAAAAAAATAGAGGGAGGAAAAAGAGCACTGGTCCTTTAAATCCCCTGGAAGTCAAGTGGACTTGTGACAATGAGGGAATGTTAAAACAGTGGCTGCCTGCCCATTTGCCTGTACCTCTGTGGTCAGAAGCACCAATCGGGGATCAGGGCAGAGATCCCCCGTTATTTTGGAGAACAGGGCCCTTAAAAAAAGGCTCACTCTAATTCCCAAGGCTGTGCTGGACTAAAATTAACTACAATTACCGTCCAAGCCTTCCCCTGGAAGTTGCAAGCTTTAGTAGTCTCCAGAGTTCCAAAATGGCTTTATCAGATTCTGCCAGTGCGATCGCTGTCCAGTGGGGACACAGATTCCTGATGGTCCTACTCTGCCATCTTTCTCTATTTCAAAGTATTTTATTTTTGTTCTTTTTGCCGCTATTTCTGCAGGAATATGGTAACTTTCTCTTTTGAATGATCCTTATTCATATTTGGTGATGTTTGCTTTTTTTTCTTTTTTTAATACCAGTGGAGTGAACTTTCTAGCTATATGTCCCCAGGTATCTATGAAGGGATCGTCTTTCTTGCTATCTTTCAAAAAACTTTTTATAACTTCTGCAGTTCAGCCCAATACCACTAAGGAAATCTCATACAGGGGCACCTGGGTGGCTCAACCAGCTGAGCGTCTGACTCTTGATCTCGGCTCAGGTCATGATCTCACAGTTCATGAGTTTGAGCCCTACATCAGGCTCTGTGCTGACAGCACAGAGCCTGTAGGGGATCCTCTGTCTCCTCTCTCTCTGCCCCTCCCCTGCTCAGACTCTCTCTCTAAATAAACAAATTTAAAGAAGGAAAAAGAAAATCTCGTACATATAAATGTACAAAAATGGAGAGACTAGTATCATGAGTCCCCAAGGGCCCATCACCAGCTTCAGTACTGATCACCTCATAGCCGATCTCCTTTTCCCTAGACCCCACTGACTTCTCCGCCTCCCATATTATTCCAAATTCCAGGCACGTATCATTTCATCTGTAAGTACTCCAGTAGATCTCCCTCAAAAGATATGGGCTCTTTATCGTAACCACAGTACCATCGTCACATCTAAAAAAAACAAAAACAAAACAGTAATCCTTAATACTGAATATCCATGATCCATAAATGGTTGGAGTTTTTAAACTGTTGGTTTGAATTAGAATCCAAATAAGATCGTACTCTGCAGTTGGTTAAATCCCTTTTGATCTATAGGTTCCCTTTCCATCTTGTCCCCCTGCAGTTCAGTTGTTGAAGAAACCAGGTCACTCTTCCAACAGTGAAGTGCTCTTTAGACTCTGGAATGGCTCCTAAAATCAGCACTTCTGACAAACACTCAAGTGACGTGCACACTGGTCTGAGGCCCGCTGCTGAGCAGTGGGTCCCTTATGCCTTTGCATTCCTGTCAGTTGGTGGGATTTCACCGAGAAAAGATTGTGACCCAACAGTTACATTTCAAGAGAACTATTTGGGAAAAGGTATCTTTTTATGCCAGTCACCCTGATAAGAAATAGAACAACAACGAAAACCCTACCACCATGTCCGCAAAGGCAAAATAGCACTGTACCAGCTGTAGGATCACACTTAGCAGTTAAGGCAATGACAGTAAAGGAAGTATTTAAGAAAAAAAAAAAAAAGGTTAAATCTGAATGCAGTCACGTGTCCTTTGGGAGGAGTACCACTGACCCCAAATGCACTCATCCCTACGATGGGCACTCTGGGTTGGAGGGAAATTGGGCCTGACACCCAGGAGGTGCTTTATGCTGTCATCCCAGGTGACCTGCATGAGCCCCACCAGCACCTGGGTGGGTGGATGGGGATGAGCTGCATGTGGTCTCTCTGGCCACCCACCAGCTGGTCCGTCTGGCCGGACCAGCTCAGCCACCCTCACACTCACAAGCTCCTGGCCTCGGCACTCAACCCCATAGCCAGGGGAGTGTAGCCTGCACCCCTGTGCTGGTGCATGTGACAGGCCGTGGGACCCGCAGCAGGCAAAGGGCCAGCAGCCCATGATGCTTTGTTTGCTTAGAGTTGAGAAAATGTCCGTGGGTCCTATCAACAAATGGGGAGACAGCCACAGAATCATCATGGGGGTGGCAGGGTCCCTCTGGGCCTCCCAGGCACTGCTGGGAGTGGCCCGGTGTCCATGTGCTCTAACTGGGACCTGCATGCAGCTGACCACAATGGGTAGACCTCTGTCAGCCAACACATGATGGTCGGTGTCTGCCATGACTGTGAAAGATCTTTACTTATTATTATTATCTCACTTAAAATTTGATTGTTGGAATTCTATTCCTAAATATATGCCCCAGAGAATTGAAAACAAGTCCTCACAAAAACGTGTGAGTGTTCACAGCAGCATAATTCCCAGGAGTCAAAAGGTAGGACCCCCCCCCCCCCCAAATGTCTATTTCAACACAGTGTGGTCCATCCATATAGGGGACGGTCACGCAATCATAACAAAGAACAGAGTTCTGGCACACGCCACACTTTGAAAACATTCTGCTGAATGAAGGAGCCAGACACAAAGACCCCTGATGTATGGCTCCAGGTTTACGGCACATCCAGGAGAGACACACGGTGGGGGGGAGGAGGAGTGGACAACAAGGAGTGACTGCTAATGGGGACTGGGTTTCTCCGGGTGATGAAAATGTTCTAAAATGAGATGATGACGATAGTTGCAAATCTGACAACTACCGAATTGAACATTTTAAAAGAAGTGCCTGAGTGGCTCAGTCGGTTAAGCATCTGACTCTTGATTTTGGCTCAGGTAATGATCTCCTGGTTCGTGAGAGCAAGCCCCATGTCGGGCTCTGTGCTGAGCGTGGAGTCTGCTTGGGGTTCTCTCTTCTCCCTCTGTCTGTCCCTCCCCCACCTGTGCGCATGCTCTCAAAATAAGCATTTAAAAAAGACTTTTCTAGGTATGTGAATTATACCTCAATAAAGCTGTTACTTTTTTTTTGTAGTGTTGATCGTTAAAGATCTTAAATCTTTTTAATTTTTTTTTAATGTTTATTTACTTTTGAGACAGAGAGAGACAGAGACAGAGTGCGAATGGGGGAGGGGTAGAGAGAGACACACACACAGAATCTGAAAAGGCTCCAGGCTCCAGACTGTCAGCACAGAGCCCAATGGGGGGCTTGAAACCCCGAACCGTGAGATCATAACCTGAGCCAAAGTCCAGCGCATAACCAACTGAGCCCCCCGGGCACCCCTAAAGACCTTAAATCTTACCCCTGCATCTCGGCAGCATCTCTGACTCCTGGGCCACGCAGACACTTCACAGTCATGGCCCCTAAGCCCTCAGGACAGTGGCAGGGTGGTCGGGCTCTGAGAGGTGAAGTGCCCAGAGCTGCGCTGAGTGGGCGGGGCCCTGCTGGTCCCCTATCCAGGGACAGGGAAGTCAACCAGCTGAAGCAGTGGGTCAACACGCTGATGACGTCCATCGCCAAGGAAGAGGAGACAGTGGCCGAGCTGCAGCTCAAAGCTCGAGTGTTCCACTTCGGCGAGTACAAGGGCGCTCAGGAGGTAGGCCCCCGGTCAGCGGTCAGCAGTCAGCGGGTGTGGAGGGAGTGTGGGCGACCACAGGCCTGGGGCCCGGTCCCTTCAAGAGCACCCCCGGGAGCACCCAGTGCCCAGCACTCAAAGCCAGTCCTGAGACACTGCAATGTTCTGGGGCAGCCACGCCCCTCGCCACTTTCCAGGCTCTGTAGGCCTGACTGAGGGGCACCGGCTGGAGAAGGCCCTTGGTCCCCAAACTGGAGCCACCCCATGTACTTATGCCCCTTGGCTGCTCAGCTGCCCCCAGCACACCTCCTCCATTCCTTTGTCCTTCCATTCAACAAATACGTCTGCTTCTTCCACACCAAGTGTCCAGAAGGCGAGCCTGCCAGGAGGAAGAAGGCATGTCCCCAGGCCAGGCTGAAAGAGTGAGAGTCTTCTGAGGGCACAGAGGGCCAGGAATGTGCCGGGCAGTGGCACGACCTTCCTGACAGTGCAGTTGGGGTCACAGGCATGGCCCCAGCTTCCTAATTCAAATTCCTTCCTTCATTCAAATTACTGATGAGCACCTACTGTGTGCCAGCACCAGGCCAGGGAGAGGATGCCACGACAAGCTAGGCCAGTGCCACCGGCCTCCTGCCAGACAGACTCACTGGCTGCTGGCCTGAGCCTTTCTGTCGGCTGTTCCTCACTTAATCCTCATGCCCAATCCATGTGGCAGGGGATGTTACGTTTCTGAATGTCAGAGCGGGCTCAGAGGGAGGGGTTCATCTGCCCCAGGCCACACAGAAAGTAACTCACAGGACAGTGTCCAGTGGAGAGCCGAGGTCAGTCCAAGGGTGGAACAGGAAGGCTCCCTGGAGGAGGGGACTAGGCCATGTGCACAGCAAGGCCGCTGCAGTAGAGGCCGAGGCACAGGTGTGAGTCCCAGCGTGGGGGCTGGAAGCCTGGACCCGGCTGACCACAGGAGGGCAAAGGGGGTCAGGCAGCTGTGGCCTAGAAAAATCCAAGTGTCCAAGCTGTTTCTCCCAGGGATCCTGAGTGTGCCGGGCAGAGCTCAGGGAGGCCAGCTGTGTCTCAGCAAGGGGCCCTGGGTCTGGCAGGCTGTGCATTGGGGGTGCACAGAGGCCCACGCAACCCCTCTGCGGGCCTGCCTGCCTTGCAGGACAAGCTTCTGGAAAGCCTGAACCACAAGGTGCTGGACGTGTACCGGCACTGCATCGGCACCCAGCAGGAGTCCAACCTGGGCACTGTGCAGATGCTCACCATCATCGAGCACTACCTGAACGAGCTGCTCGAACACCTAGAGCATGTACCCCAGGTCAAGATCGAGCAGGCTGAGAAGGCCAAGGAGAAGGAACGCCGCATGAGGTGAGAGCCCAGGCCCCTGCCCCACCGGGCCGCCTCACGAAGTAGGGAGGGCCCTGAGGGCGAGGATGCCCTCCACACCCCTGCCCCTGCTCCGGGCTGGCCTGTCCTCTGAGAGCTCCCGAACCAGGGAGAGAGGACCCTGATGCTCTGACCTCTAAGACGAAGCCAGGGGGTCTTCCAGAGGGGGCATCAAACTCAGCCCAGTGAGGGAAGGCCCTCTCCTGGAGTGGGAGATGATGTGGACTCAGGGAGCCCAAGAGACAAAGTGAGGGTGTGGACAGCATGGCCTTGCCCTGAGGACAAGGGGCAGCATTGGCCATTTTCCCTGCTGGATCGGAGAGGGAGAGATTGGCATTGCCAGAACCCAGGGGAGGGAAGGTGCAGACTCAGGGAGAAGCTGAGGAAGGCCGGTTTAGGGGCAGAGGCAGGCAGGAACACTTAGCAGTCATGGGTAGCATGGACCCATCCTCCAGGGGGAGGCCCAGGGAGCTCCCCACAGACCCAGTGGCTCCGCTGGCCAGGGGGGCTGCCTGCTTCATTCACTCCTGTGCAGGGCCCTGAGACACGGCCACCTGCAAAGAGCTATCTGCCTCTCCCACAAGCAAAGGGGCTCTTCCTCTGTGTCCCATCCCATACCCTGGTAGAAGCAGGCACCGGGCGAAAGTCTGATGAGCAGAGAGGCACACACAGAGGTGGACCAGTGACCAGGGAGGGGGACCGAGGAACGTGGGGCTCCAAGGGGTAGGAGCCGATGGACCAGAGCTGCGACCTCCAAAAAGCAGGGGCAGCAGCCAACCTGGCCTGGCAGGGAAGGGTGAAGAGGAGTAGGGAGTTCTCTCAGAGGGAGGGCCATGGCCTGACTGAAGGCTGCATCAAGGAGCTAGGAAGGGAAGCTGGCAGCCTTCCCAGGCTCCTCCCGTCTTTTGATGTGTCCTGTGCTGCCCCCCATACCCAGACTCCGAGAAGAGAAGGTGCTGATGCAGAAGCAGCTGCAGGAGGAGCGTCTGCAGCGGGCCCAGGCTCGGGCCCAGGCGGAGATCAAGAAGAAGGTGGGCATGATGGCCCTGGGGAGTCACTGCTGGGGAAGGGGCCCCACTGGCAGGCATGGTTGAGGCCGGGAGGGGCTGAGGGCCTGGCTCGCACCGTTTGCAGAAGCTACTGCTGAGACCCCGGGGGAAAGACGGAGCCATCAGAGCAAGGCGGGGGTAGAGCAGGGTCTCCTGGTCCTGGCCCACCGATCCCACTACCCCTCAGGGCTGCCCTCCACCCCCGGACCCGCTTCCTCTGCGAGTCCTCCCCTGGGGCTGCCTGCCCTCTTGCACACGCACTCCTGGTGACTGGCCTGGCTGTGCCCTCCCGGCTCAGCCCCCACAGGGTCCCACCGTACCACCTACACTCCAGCACGACCCCATCACTGCAGCTCATCCTCTGTCACTAGGGGTTCCCCGGCCACCCCACAGGGAACAGGTTCTGGCCCTAGCAGCAGGAGGTGTGCTCCCTCAAGCAGGCCCAGGCCTGAATACAGCCCCCAACAGACAGATGAGGCCGAAGGGCCACTCTCTGAAAGGTAGCACTCTCCACGCTGTCACGTGGGAATGGCAGACACTGGGGTGGGGGGTCTCCTCCTGAATCCCCAGTGCAAAGGAAGTAGGTTCCCTCTGTTCAGCCAGGCATTCCCAATCCGTTTTGAGGTACATCCCTGCACATACACACACACACACACATCTAGGGGCCGGCACCCCAGGGAACAGGCTTCATAAACGCGGGCTGGACTCACTCCCGGGGCACTGAAGGGCAGCTCCGGCCCAGAGCCCACAGGCTGAGCAGAGGCTTGGACCTCCACGGCGTCCCCCGGCCTCAGCTCCGCAGCCTCGAGAGGCATGCTGCCCGGTGTCTGGGTGTCTAGGCGGCACCTTCCGGCGCAGCGAGGCCGCGGAGCGCAGGCTCACGGGGTCTTACTCTGCAGAGAGGCAGGAGGCTGGTGTGTCGCTCCCAGCTCCCAGTCCTGAAAATAAAGGTGGAGCCTGAGCACGTGCTGATGGACAAGGACAAGGAGGAGCAGCTGCTGTTCTTCACCTAGCCCTCTGGCGCTGGCCGGCCCCTCTGCCCACAGCACGGCAACGGCAGCAGCAGGCAGCCCGGGCAGGGCAGGGCAGGGCAGTCGGCTGGACGCGACTGGCGCAGGATTGCCGTGCCCCCCCCCCCCCCCCCCCCCCCCCCCCCCCCCCACCGTGGCCTCCCGCTGTGTTCCCTTACCTGTGTGAAATAAACTCTCCCTCTCTGGTGTCTTGATGGCCTGTGGCAGGAGGCAGGTTGCTTTCTACCTCCATGCCCTGCCCTTTAATCCCTGACGCCTGAACAAAGGCTCGAGGGAAGGAGCCCCTGCTGCCCTCATCCGAGGTGGCTGCTTTGAGAAACAAGGGCCAGTTCCACACAGAGGTGTGATGGGGGACTAGCCCCAATGCAGGGACAAGAAAAGGAGGCAGCGGGCTGAGCAGACAAAAGGGTTATTACTCCTGACTGAAGGAAAAACAGGACCTCGACGCTATGCACACAGTTCTGTGAATGAAGCCAGGGGACAGCTCCAGTGCGTGATTATACAAAAACTTTTATTCATTTGTACTAGAAATTGGGCCCGTTGCCACCAGGGAACCTAGTGCCCAGAAAACTGATGGCCAGTACCAATCACTTCACAGTGGTGGACATTCACAGGGGGGACGTTCCGGGGAAAGGCCCAGCAACACACCCCTGAGAGAACATTCCTGTGGCCCGCCCCCTCCTCCCATCAGAAGGACAGCACAGTGTGACCAATAGGCCACTTTGCCCCCATGGCCACCCTGGCAGGCGGGGCTGGCTCCTCGTAGAGAGAAGGGGCTTCTGGGCGACCTGAAGGCCAAGGTGCCAGATGGACACAAAACTTTAGTCTGTGCCGCAGCACAGAGTTCTGTGGGTAAAGACCATTCATACATGGGGCCCAAGTTCCTTTGGAGGGAGCAGCAGCCTGGACAGACAGCACCTCAGAGCAGGACAGAGAGAGGACTCATAATCAAATGCTGGGGTGATTCTCAAAAGCCCAAGTCCAGAAACTCAAGTAATGAAGAAACACAAAACAGAGTTTGGACAATTCCAAGTCCAACAACCCAAACAGCATCTGAACAAACATGCACTTCCAAAGGCACAAGGCAGAAAACCAGCATTTCTGAGTGACCCTGTGTCCAGTCCCGCTAACAAACAAATAAATATGTGCAAGGTTATCAGCTCGCCTTCTCCGGCCAGACAGACCGTACTCCGTAGAAACGTACGGTGACACAGTAGATGCACATGTGCGGCCTCAGCAACAAACACACACGCCACTGTCCCTGTCCTACATGTGACGTGTAGGACTCAGGACATGACTTTAGAAGCTGCGGACGAATTATCGTTAAACATTAATAGCCAAATCCAGAGTTCGGAAAAATTACTTTTGAAGTTTTAACTCTAACATTCCCGAATCGGGAGCTTCAAATCTGCTCTATGCAGAGGCCTCACTAACAGGACCCCAGGTGCTCCACTTCACCCCCATCATTTTCTTCTCATGCCAGCCACCCGCCTGGTCCTGCCAAAACGTGGATCTGAATTTGGCTTCGCTGGGAAAACAGGGCCGCTTCTGCCCCAGAGGGTGACAAAACCAACCCAACTACAAACACCCAAGGGGGTGGGAAACAGCCTGTTAGCTGAGAAAGGGAAAACGGTTTCTAGGTCTGTCTCAGGCCAAATGCTAAAACACAGAAGCTGAAAGACCCCACTTAGATTTACTACGGATACAGTCGTACTTGACTAGGGAATCTGTACCCCACCCGACTGCCTGCAGAAGTCTATTTTCTTAATGCAGCAGGTGCTCCACAGTTTAGATCAAATTGGACAAAGGCTGTCCGTGCACAGCCAAGTACAGAAAAGGCATGTGCTTTTGCCCCTGAAGGCAATCCTTGCCTCACGAAGCACTTTGCTCAGATAAGGCAATTTCAGCTAATACAGCCCCAAACCGGTTCCTGATAAAATGTAAGGAAGATATTTTTGAGAAATGTGCCCAAAAGTCTCCAAAGCACTCGGCTAGCCTCCTGAGCAGAAACCACGTGGGGGCTCACTCAGGCCTGCAAGAGCACGTAATGGGAGTCCTGGGGGACACGGACCGGAGGCATCACCCTCGGGTCCCCAGGCAGAGGGCTGCTGTCACTGTAGGTCCTGCAGATTGATGGTGCTCCCTGCACACTGCACATCCTCAGGCTCGGCGTCCCCTCCAGCTGCAGGAAGCACCTCCTGAAAAAACCAAGCAGAGCAGTGAGGGACGGGGCAGGGCTGGGGGCGGGGGGAGGTGCGGGACCACCTCCCGGACGCAGCCCTGCAGCCACACACAACCAGCAGCATAACCCACGGGCTGGCCGGTAGGGCACCTCTCCCTGTTCTCGAGTCTTGCTTCCCCCTTATTATATATTCTTCGAAGAAAGGAATTTTAGCATAAACAAAAAAGGAAAAGTGAACTTAATAATACTGTGTTGCAGGTTTGCTCATAAATGTGACTGTCCTTGTTTATCTCATAGCCCTTTTCCCCATTTTGTATGTGGGTCGCACCCTTCCTAGTTCCCAACTGCCCCCATGCATCATCACTGGCCGCCCAGGACTCTGGCCTCCCGGCCACACCATCACCCACCTAACCCACCCCCTCCTGCCTGAAGAATATTCCCACAGCATTAGATTCAAGGCGATGGTGAACATCTTCTGGCTAGTTATTTGTACACTACCAGGCTTCTTTAAGAACCAGCTGATGAGTGGGAATACCAGACAGAATGGAGTTGACATCTGTGAGGTTTTCTGAATATAAGTTCCCAAACTACGTTCCAAGGACAGTCTGGGGCCCCACCGCTCCTCTGTATACCAGCACTTGACTCAATAGTTATTTTTGGTATTGAGGAAAATGCTCAACAGCCCAATTTGAATACAAGAAAACTAAAATTACTGTGTATGTGGATTTTAAAAACATGTATTTAAACTGAATTGTTAGAAGTTCGATTAGCTACATACTCTCACTATTGTATAGCCAAATCTAAATTACCTATTGCCGCCTATACCCACTGGCTTATCCACTTACTTAAGCAAACTAATTTTTCTGGGTCTATTTTCCCACAGGTTAAAAACTGGCCAGGCTGTTTCCCAGAAAAAGTGACTAGAATTTCTAAATATAAAATACTTGAGGAGTATATTCAATTTCACATACAAGTAGGAGCTACAATGGTGAACAAATCTGATCTTTCTTACCAGCCTTTTATTTCTTGGTCATTCACCCATCTTTGCAGAAAGCCGCAAAAGATCCTGGCAATGAACCCAATGGGTCTCCATTCAACGCCTACCTCAGTAAAACAAGCCTCAGAAAGCCAGAAGCGTCTGACAGTCTTACTAACAAAGCCAAAGAGTTGTAAGGCATCCACACCTGGAGGACATAGACAGGCAAATCGACAGCCAACAGGGGGTGGAAGGCGGAAGGCTGCGGGCTGAGAACCAATGGTGAGACGGCTTCACCTGAGGGGTCGTCCTGGGGAGGCAACAGCACGTGTTTCATTTACCAGCCATGGCAACATTCCTCGCCTTGGCCTGAGGAGTCCCCGTCAATGTGCTACACCCACCCACCCCGGATTCCAGGCAGGGCAACACGGGGAGCCACGTGAGGCTTGAGGACCCAGCGGTAACTGGAACTGGGCAGGGGGCTGCCTGCCCTTCCTCCTGGTCCTCAGCCTCTCATCTTGCTCCCAGCTGGAGACCCATACCACCTGCCATCTGGCTGTCCCCCGCTCCCAGGCCCTTTCCCTGGAGCTCCCCCCAACTCAATACTGCCCCTCAGTCTAGGCTGTTCCTCAACTCTGGCGGAGGCTCCCAGCCCCTCCAGCTCTCCAGTGGCCACCTCACCCTACACAGGAAGGCCCCCCTCTGCCCCAGCCCACCGTCGAGAAGGGATAAGAGGGCACAGGTCTCCTGCAAGGGGGAGGCTCCTAGGCCCCTAATCATGCAAGTAAGAAAAGGGACACTGGCTACCATTTCAGCTTCATTGGCATGCCTGGCCCACAGCCCCGCCACTCAACTCCTGGTGCCGGTGCCACTGTCAACACCATCATCCCCACTTCTTAGACAATAAAACTGAGGCCCGGCGTACATAAGTAGCTTGCCCCAGACAACACTAGCTGGAGAGGGAAAGGCAGAGAATCAAAAGTGAGTTTTCTCCACCTCAAAGCTCACACCTTCTATCGGGTGTCTCTTGAACAGCAGCTCCTCCCTTTGCAACGAGCGCCTTTTCTGCAACGGTGCCAGCTTTCCCGGGGGAAAGCACCTTAAACATAAAGGCTACGTCCTCCGTTGCACTGAGCACCCCCCACATACAGGGGCGCCAAGCTGCCTGAGGAAGCCCCTTCCGCCCCCCCACTGAGAAGACAAGTGAGGTCTGGGGAAGGGCAGGCAGGGGTGGGTGAGGAGTCAGGCACCACAAGGCGTCCTCTGGCCAGCCTCGGGCAGCCCTTACGGCTGCTAGGAGGCCTCAGGCAGGAGTGGGGCACGGCACCCCCACTTCACAGAACTCCAAGTGAGGTGTGGCACGCAGACTGCACGGGGGCAGTTTAGACACTGAAGCGTCGATCCTCGTAAGGATGAAAGCTTGGACAAGTACAGAGAGACAGGACAGGAGGACAGGAGGAGCTGGGGTGACGGAGCGATCATCCAGTGCTTGGGATGGTTAGAAGTCGAGAGGCGGTTAGAAGTCTCTCAGTTCCTGAGAGGAAGGAGCACTGGACAGCTGCAGGCCCAGGGAGATGCAGCCTGAAGCCTGGCCCCCGGCTGCCACCCGGCCAGCGTCCTCCTGGCGACCAGTGTCCTCCTGGCTCGCTGGGTCTTACCTGCAATAACTGGACCTGAACACACGGCATCCCGGCTGCTGGAGTGGGTCCTGGCAGACCTCCACCGGGTACCACAAGGTTCCCACACAACCAACCAGTCTGGCTTGCATGCAAGTGAGTAGGACTGACTTTGCCACCTTTCGTCTTCCTCTGAGCAGACCCCGAGGCTCCTGAAATGAAACAGACCAGCCACATGCAATATACAGTGTGACTGCGAAGGCCCCTGCCCTCACGGGGGCCCCACTCTGGGGCCACACGGTCCTGTTGTCGAGGTGCACAGTTCTGCAGGCTTAACACGAGTCAACAGGGAGAGTCGGCGGGGTTAAGAGACGAAAAGAGCCGAGATTACGATCAGAAAGTTTAGCAAACTTACACACGTCTCCTGGACGTGCAGCAATCAGACCCCAAGTGCCCATTTCTTGGGGGGGGCGGTGCGGAGGCTCCTCTTTACCCTGCAACCCCAACACTGCAGGCACACAGGAGACCCGACACCGTGGCGCACAACCACTGCGTGGAGCAGCAAGAGCACAGAAGCGGAGAAGGGAAGAAAGTGGCCATCACACCCCACCCTCGGGCACCACGGCACGTGCCCAATCGCTGCCAAGTCCTACAAGCTGTTTTCTGTCTGGCTTCCTCTGCGAGTCATCGCCTTACTGATTTCATAAAAACACGCTTTTCAAAATACTTAAGTACAAAGAAGAAACGATCTGGACGCCCAGAAAGGGGTTTTCTAAAACCCATGTGGCTTGTGAGCAGCAGGGAAACCCCAGAGACCAGCAGCCTGGATTCAAATCCTGGCTCCACCAAAGACTCTGGTACCTGACTTTGGACAAGAAACCTAAGCTCCGGCCTCAGTGTTCCCTACCTGTGACATGGGAACAATACTCCTTAGTTTGGGAGTTTTGGGAGGATTAAATAAGTATGTGATACGAGTTGAGAACAGTGCCTGGGTCACGGTAAGTGGCAAGGAATTTTAGGTGCTGTTGATTGCTGTGTACAGACAGCCCTGGACACGTGTACATGAATGGCTTCAGAAAGACAGTTTTACAATGAGTATCGCACAACTTCATGTTAGTAAAAGCATTTGCTTCTGTTGAATTTAATAAAATGAAAAGGAACAAGTGAAACTGAACAAGTGAAACCGAAGGACTTGCTGAACGTCCAGAAAGCATTTCCTCATGAAAATTTCTAATGACCTAATGGAAAAAGAGGAAAAACATGAGAGGCTGCATTCTTCCTTTAGGTCTCGTACTCTGAGTTTCCATTTTAAACGGGAACGGTCAACTCTGGCACACAAGACGGGCCACCCCCGTTGGCAGCGAGTTTTCCTTTCACCTTGATGCCAAAACCAGCCTAGAGGGCCCAACTCTGGAGCTGCGCTATGTGCTACCTGTGTGCACCCCACCGCTGCCTGCCTGATCCTGCCCATCACCCTCTCGGTGTTTCCTGCACACCCAGCGCACCGGACTGGCAGGAAACTCCAGGATGATGTCTCCTTAACCCTCAGCACTTGACAGACTCAGCTCAGGGGCGGGGGGGTGCTGTAGGCCGCAGTCTGTTTCCGCCCACGGCGTGCTCTTTCCCTCCTGGGTGTCTGAGGGATTCATCTTTGTGGCAAGTCTCGGTTTTCCCCGGGGGCACCTTTAGTGCCCCCCTTCACTGCAGGGAATCGCAGTTCCATTACAGCCCTGAGTACTTCCTTCTCGTTTCCGTCTGCCAGGTTCTCTGCCTCAGGGAACCCAATCCCTCCTGCTGGATTAGCTCTGGCTGTTCTCCATGCTCCTCCTAACTGCTCTGCGTGCTTTCAGACAGCAGAGCAAGGCTGGGACAAGGGTGAGGAAGCAAGGCGAGGTGCTAAGGCGCGGGATCCACTCGCTCTTCTTTAACAGTAAAGAAATTCCATGTCACTTCTTATTCTCCCTGAACATGCTTGATATTCCACTCCACTCTGGAATTTTACCTGATGCACTGTTCTGCTTTGAAGTCTTCAATGACCCTAGCATATCTCCCTGAGATAAAAAATATGTACATAAATTAAAATTTTAGGGGCACCTGGCTGGCTCAGTTGGTTGAGAGTCCGACTCTTGATTTTGGCTCAGGTCAGAATCCCAGGGTCATGGGATCAAGCCCTGCATTGTTGGGTTCTGCACTGAGCATGGAGCCTGCTTGAGCTTCTCTGTCTCTCTCTCTCTCTCTCTCCCTCTGCCCCTCTCCCTGCTCACACTCTCTTTCTCAAAACTAAACTAACTAAATTAAATTAAATTAATTTTAGGGGTGCCTGGGTGGCTCAGTAGGTTGAGTGTCTGACTCTCGATTTAGACTCAGGTCATGATCCCATGGTTCATAAGTTCAAGTCTCGTGTCAGGTTCTGCACTGTTAGTGCCTGGGATTCTCTCTCTCTTTCTCTGCCCCTCCCCTGCTCGTGTGCATTCTCTCTCTCTCTCTCTCTCTCAAAATAAATGAATAAACTTTAAAAAGATAAAATTTTAGTTTAAAAACGTATTTCAATATACTTTCTAGTATCTGAAAACCTGCATCACCATTGCAATTAGTAACGCAAACCCAACCAAAATAACAGAACATACTAGAAACTCTGATAATTATGAAATGTTAAAAATAAAATTGTACTGATGTATGGAGAACAGCGTGACGGCCTGTTTTCCAGGAGGCTCATGTGGCTGTGTGTAAGTATTACTCATTGCTAGACTCAAACAGGGTCAACATACATTTTTGCCAATTAAAAAAATATTACAGATAAATGCTTGTGTGCTTTAAATGTAATTTCATCACAATTATAGCACCCTGCAGCTGCAAAATCAGCTCCTTTGGGCAGCTCAGGACAACTACACGAATGAGTGCGAGCACCACGGTCAGCGTGCACCGTCAGGATGGTGCCTGTTTCTCACAAAAGGTCCGATTTCATTTTTCAGGTCAAACAAACATATTGCAACATGGATCAAGGGATGTTATGAAAATCACTATGAAGGAAAGCACCAAGTAATGTACCTTTTTAAGCTACTTTTAAAAGCAAGATTTAAATATGTGTATCTAATACTTACTAGCCAGCTGTATAAGATAAAAGCAAGGTCATTCTGAGCCACTCCTCATTTATTTCACAATGATTCAATGACAAGTGCGTAGGCCACACTCTATCTTACCTATGAAGCAAGAAGTATGATCAAAGCATCGTATCTCTTCAAAACATGTGCTAGCCTGTATGCCATGCAACTAGGGGGAAATGAAGTAAAAATGCTGAGAACAGAATCAGAAATAGATCCCACTTAATTTTCCCAGACAACAGCATTAACATGTTTCCTTTATACCTCATGAAAGACAACAGTATTCCCTGCTGAAAAACAAGCCAGTAACTAGAATATGATTGTATTTTTGTTAAAGGGATGTAAGAGGTATTGATTCTGTAACAGGAAATAAGATGGACTATAACGAGAATATTCATGACACGTAAGCTAAACTGGTTTTAGCTACTCTATTAGCACACACTCCATCTAAAAGGAATCATATACATTCTCTTTTCAGTGTGTACCTTCAAGCCAATGCCTAAGAATCTGGTAGTCCCACAGACGCCACAGTTAAACACTGAGATGAGAATCACTGTCTAACCTGGAGGGCTCTAGCACCTTCTCTGGTTAATAGTCCCTCCTAGGGATGCAGTGTCACCAGCTAAAAGGAACCGCTCAGGCTTATGTATCTGAACACCGCTGCTTTCATGGGATCCTCCTTAAAAGCAGTTCATGCTAGGACAAGAGCAGAAAGGTGGGAAAGGTGAGGGCTCTAAATGAACGCGGCTCCCACCCCCACGGCCCCTTCTACACTGTATCTTGGTGCAGAACCTCTCAACATGGCCCCCTACCAGAACCCATGCACGAGAAATGCCAAGCTGGCAAGAGTGACTCAAGGCAGTCTTGACGCCTGTGTGAGTTAATCCATACACGATGCCTCCACGAAGCCAGCACTCTCAGGTGTTCTGGGTCTGGGGTTCTGGAAGAGCTTTTATATAGGCCCTAAGGTGCTGCGCCACAGGGAGCTTGGTGGAGGGATGGGACTCGCTGTCATGAAGGAAAGGAGGACAGGAGAGCCTGCAGAAGTCCTAGACCCAAATGCACGGTCTTAAACTACAAATGGAAGATGACGATCTGAAAGCAGGTTCCCTTCCAACTAGCCATGCTCGCCTCCCCTTCCAAGTCTTCTCATCCATCCAAGGTCCTGGAGCCGGGCCAAGGGCTCCCATCAGCACCCTGAGGAAGCCACGAGGGAAGAAGGTGGGCCATAAGAGGGAACCTGAGCCCACACACTGAGCGCCCAAGCGCTTGACCTCTAGACTCCCTGCTCAAGAGAAAAAACACCTTTACCTGCTGGAGCCATCGGCACAGGGTGCTGGGGTACATGGCCCCAAATGATACACTGTGCTATCTGGTAATGTGCCATCAACATGTAAAACAGCTGAAAATGAATTACACACTGCCTGAGTTAGTTATGCAAGCCCACCAATCCACGGATGCTTGAAGGCTTACAGCCAACACATGGAACCCCATGACGGCCATGCGGCCGCCCTCACTAGTAAAGATGCCATGACACTACGTGTAACATGACTTAATAAACTTAATAAACCGATCTCAAGAAAAACTAAAGAATCCCTTTCTCACAGTGGAAATCCAGAAACCTTTAAAGGGCAAGTCATCTTCATAATGAACGAATTTTGCTTCGATAACCTCAACACTGATCCGAAACACTGGTTTTGTGCTAGATAACTTGAAAGAGCCGGGAGAGGAGAGAAGGAGAAATCCAGCCGGCAATTAAGTTAAGTAGACCTAAAAAGAGAATCCTGCTCGGGCATGAAATAGCCAGGTGAGCCGGAGTGCACAGCGAACTGTGGTGCAGCATCACCTCACCTTACAGAGCCATCATCAGAATTAGGTGAGACCAGCAGCACAGAGCCTGGCTCAGGCAAGGTGCTCCACACATCTCTTGGAGATGCCCCTAGGCTAACAGCTACAGAACCCAGTGCCATCCCAAGCACGTGCCATCCTCGCCCCCAGGAGGGATGTGCAATGGAGATGGTCAGCTCCCTATCCTACACACCGCTGGCTCAGAGGGCTCCTTCCCCCCACCAGGTGGGTAGCGGGGAGCATGATGAACTTTGGGCTCATGC